TCTGGTTATGTTATTGGTTGTACATAAAATGTGTCAAAGTTATTTTTACATAATTTTTACTTCATCATTTATTTTTAAATGATATTATTGTATGTGTTTTACAGTTTTTACGTTTTGGATATTAGGGAAATATGTTAGATATGATTATCCTTATTCAAATTCCATTTTAAAGTCTTTTTGTGAGATAAAATGTGTCCTGTTTAGTCAAAATTCAGTCGTTTTGTGAATAGTGCCTAGAGTGACTTAATAGTCCAAACTTTGCATAGTAGTCTCTTCTTCTGTAGGTATGTCAAACAAAGCTGGAATGGGAAATAAAGGCAGCCTGAGATTGCATTTCGTTTCCTGCATTGTAACATGATGTGTCCCATGTTGTGCTCTCACCAGGTGATGAGACTAGAGTGACCTTTCCAGGATGAAGGCTTATGGAGACTGTGCTTTGCCCAGCCCATGTGGTCCCCCCTCTTGACTATACTGACAAGATCCAAAGGAATACTAGGCATTACATTTGTGGCAGGTTTGACTGCACAAGTTGTAGGAATGTTGTCAACCAACTGCCTTCAGGGCTCCATTACAAATTTTCTGTCTGGATTTACTTCCATAGCCTTTTCCATATTTCAATATAGCAGCAAGGCAGCTGACGTTTAAAAATTAGTGCTTTTTCCCTAGATTGACTGCTTTCTCAGGTTGATTAGCTCCATCTACCCTAATATTCACATAGCATTTCCTAATAATATGCAAAAGGGTGTTAAAAAGAAGCCCTAAAATCTGTTGCTTGGTCAGACCTTGAGAAGTTGGTTGGGCTGAGAACTTACCAGTATCCCTTTGCACAAGTCTAGTATCTAGATACATTTATTGGCTGTTTTTTTTGCTTTTTTTTTTTTAATCTTAAATTTTCACAGTGTACTGTTTGCTCAAGATGAATAATGGAGTAGTACTGGGTTAAAGGCAAGGACAGAGGTGATTATGCAGAAAAATTTTAATGTAAAATAAATACTTTCTCTCCCCACCATCCTTAAAGTCCTATAAACTTCTTCAAAAGTATAGGGTTACAGCATGACCACACCTAGGCATTGCTGCTGTAGTTTCTGTAGCAAGTAGGTTTTTACAGGGAGGAGTTACTAGTCCCATGCCCAACCAATTTTGAATTCAGAGTTGTCCTCCACCTGGTCTGGTTGCTGACCAAAGCTAGAGTCCCTTCTGTCTAGCTAGGAAGGAGAGATGGACTCTTACCTTTCTAAGAGTATTTGTGTGAAAGTGAATGCAACAGCTTTGGTTGGAACTTGAATGGCATGCCAATAATACTTTCTGCATTTTAAAGATGAAAAACAAATGTACATAGTGCAATATGCACTATGTGTACATTCATTTTTCATCTTTACACTTATTGACATACATTGGCACAATAATTTCATAGGTAAATAGTAATTAACATTGTAATTTATAAACATATTTTATTCTTGACTAGCAGTAGAGCCTGGCGTTACCTGGGGATGTAACAGTAAGAGATAGATCAAGTATCAACCATCATAAAGACTGAAAAATAAAATTGATAAAGATTATTGTTTAAGGTTGATGGACACACATGTCTTAATTAGTTTTTTGGTTTTTGAGTTTTTTTTTACAAATTGGTCAAACTCAAACAAAAACATTGTTTTCAATCGTTATGAGTCTATCGATTGAATAGAATTTTATTATAAACAATTGTCTTGTAAATGGAATTTTTAAAGCATTCTGAATGTAAAAATAAAGAAAAAAGTGTGCAAGACAATAAGAAACACAACTTCACTTTTTTTTGGCAGGTAGTGTTGAAATTGGTTGAAAAATGTAGGAAATTTGATCCCATATATAAATGAACACGCACACACAAACAACCTGGGTTTTATAATAAGTATAACTCGATATGAGTTATCCCCCTTTCATTCTGGTGACAGAATTGTGTTTTATCATGTTTTCAAATTAATTTCATGCAAAAACAATTGTTTTTCCAATTTTTGGCGCTGTCAGAACCACCGCAAGGTAATTTTATGTAGTCCTGTGAAGTTTTGTTGAAATCGGTTGAAAAATGTAGGAAATCTGATCCAATATATAAACATACAGACACACACACACAATCTGCATTTTATAATAAGTAAGATTATTTACTACACAAGCATGAAAGCACAGAAACAACTCTGAATAAAACAATTCATGTCAGTGTCGATTTTGCATATATATATATATATATATATATATATATTCAAACATATATTGTTAAGTATAACAGACAATGAATGTTTATTATGTTTGGTCATGAGCCGTTCTAAGCTTTGTATAGTGGCTTTAGTTTTGGGAGGAGATAAAAACAAAAACTGTCCAACATATGATGGCTCATATGAGCCAAAAGCTTAGATCGAGGAACATAATAAGAAATAAAAAAAAAAAATGTCCAAATGTTGGACAATTTTTGTTTGTATTTTTTCCCAAAACTAAAGCCACTATATGAAGCTTAGAATGACTCATGATCAAACATAATAAACATTCATTGTCCCTTATATTTAACAATATATGTATGAATAATGATCTGCTGCCCCAATACACACACACACATATATATATCTCAAAAGGAGGTAAATTGAATTTATGTACAAGTTGGCTTCCATCAATTATTCGCGCTCTCTCTCTCTCTCTCTCTCTCTATATATATATATATATATATATATATATATATATATATATATATGGCATTTGGAATAGTGCCTTAATTTTTTTTATTTTTTTTTATTTGTCTGTTTAATGATTGAAATTTGAGCCAAACTCACTAGCATTTTATATATATATGGTGTGGTCATTGTCTACAAAAGTTTATGAATAGCATTGAGGGTAGAGGAAAAAACATTCTATTATTTAGGAAATGTGGACAATTTCCAAAGTTGAGAAACAAATTGTCTTACTTTCTGATGCAGGTGGATTTGTTGCGGCGCTAAGCAGGTTGACTGTTAACCCCGCAAACGGAAAAATAATATAAGATAATACGATCGAAACAAGGACAACAAAAACGAGGATGTAAAAGTTTAAGCCAAATTTTATTAAATAAATCTGGCACGAATATATACAGATAATCGTTTGTAGTAGTTCGGTCGTGTAGTCTTGGAGGAGTGTTGTCAGGTCTCAAGGTGACAGCTTGAGGTAGGCGAATGGAACCAGCGATGTAGGAGGTCCAGTCGATCCCTGGATGTCTGTACTTGCAGAGAGAGAGGATCGGCGCGGACAGTGCTGTGGTGTAGTCAGTTAGTCCTTGGGTGGAGGTCGCGCAGGATTGCAGCTTGGTAGTTCTAATAAAAGGACGCGGCTAGGTTAGTCCTGAAAAGGACTATTGCATATTATGTAATCGAGGGCAGACTATTGCATATCATGTAACCGAGGATAGGCTAGTGCATATCATGTAGCCGAGGATAGGCTAGTGCATATCATGTAGCCGAGGATAGGCTAGTGCATATCATGTAGCCGAGGATAGGCTAGTGCATATCATGTAACCGAGGATAGGCTAGTGCATATCATGTAGCCGAGGATAGGCTAGTGCATATCATGTAGCCGAGGATAGGCTGCTGCTGATATCTGCTGGCTCTAGCTGCTGCTGCTGCTGATGAGGAGGAGGCCGGACTGCTCTGCTGGCTCTAGCTGCTGCTGCTGCTGATGAGGAGGAGGCCGGACTGCTCTGCTGGCTCTAGCTGCTGCTGCTGCTGATGAGGAGGAGGCCGGACTGCTCTGCTGGCTCTAGCTGCTGCTGATGAGGAGGAGGCCGGACTGCTCTGCTGGCTCTAGCTGCTGCTGATGTCTGCTGGCCTTGGCTGCTGCTGCTTCGTGTGGTCAGCGTAGGTGAGAGGGGGGAGCTCGTCGCTCAACCCCGAGGCCAAAAATCAGCCGAGAAGATTAATTTGGTGGAAAAAATCCGCTGTGTATATATAGGCTGAGGTCGGCAACGTAGCCTGTCAGCGATATATTTGGGGTGATGACTGAAAATTACCTTCTACTTTTTGGCTGTACACATGGATTCCATTCGGACACCATGTGTATATAAAGTAGTTTCTGGTAATTGTTTTTGGTTAGGAAAGTTAGTATATGTAAATGTTTCGTTTTTTCTTAGTTTGTGTGAGACGTTGACTGAAAAACGCTTAGTCACCGGAAGTTAACGGCATTCGTTATGTTTTCCGCGGTGACGCTTTTAGATGTTTGAGTAGCCGGCAGTAACTTCCGGCCGGGTGCGATAGATTTGTTATTTTATTGTTGAGAAGAAAATAATAATAATAATAATAATTAAAAAAAAAAAAAGTATAATCTCTGAATGCTGGGTTCTTGGGTTGAGTCATTACAACTGAATTGGTTATGTATGTATACACACACGTGTACATAAAGACACAACAACAGTTTATATATATATATATATATATATATATATACACACACACACACGCACGCATATGTATGTGCATAGCCATGTGTGTAAACTTAATACTTTTTGAAATGTCATTGTGTGTTGTAATTTATGGCCATCCTTGACATGTTTTTATTTGCTATTTAGAATTGAACAAAAAAGATTTTTTTTCATTATCAAAATATTTTATCAACAAATTTCACCAGTCAATCCTGTTACTTGAACAAAAACTTTATTTTTTTTTTTTTACTACATTGCCTCCTACTGCAAATGTACTTTTTGAACAATTCTTGACACAATTTTGTTTAACATTTTAGAAATTTAATTTTATTGCTTTCTCTTAGCTATCTCTTATCAGTAGTCTCATATTTGTATGTACTAAGTTGACTGTTAAGGGTTAGAATCCTTTGTTTTGGTTTAAAATTGCATTTATTATAATTTCCTTAATTTGAAATGGCACATATAAAACAAAGATATGGATTAAATATTCATTTTAGGTACATATGCAAAAAGAATAAACTTATCTAAAATATCTGTGATAGCCAGATGCTACTATTTTGATGGCAGACTCTAAAATAGAACTGTTTATGGCTACATCACATTGAAACACCAGTTCCTCTATGATCACTGAAGTTAAGCAATGTCGAGCCCAGTGAGTACCAAGATGGGTGACCACTTGAGAATACCAGGTGTGTAATGGATAATGGCTTGGAATTGTTAATTGGAGAGCCAAGTTCCAATTCCCATTGGATCTGTTATATTCATTTATGCACAGATACTCTTAGGAAAGGTATGAATCCACCTATTCTCCCCCAGCTATGAGTTAATTAGTAAGATTAGTATCACTTAACCTTATCTCCAAAAAAGAAAATTCTTGCAATCTAAAAATATTTTCTGGCTTTACATAACCTGCAAATGGTTTATAAACTGTAGAAAGCAAATCAATCAATCTAAAATGGAATTGAAAAAAATCTTAGAAAGTAGTAATGGAAAGCAAAAAGAAAGGACTAACTATTAACTGTAAGAAATTGAATGCTTGGTCATAAGCAAAAGTGGCAGCCAAAGGTGTGAGCTTTATATTGGGGACATTAAAATCAAGCAAGTACTGAAATTTAACAATCTGGGTAATGTAAAAGTTGACAGAAATGTGACACAGAAATCTGAAGTTGCATTGGAATAGTGAAAGATGTCATCCACAAAATTAAGTTAAGCATTAAAAGATAGGAATATGACAGTAAATGTTGAACAGTTTCCTCACTGGTAAAGAAGAGACTTGAACCAACAAGTCTTTGTGATTCTACAGAAGGATGCTGAGAATACCATGATTGGACCATGTGAGCAAAAAGGAAGTCTTAAGGAAAATAGGATCAACAAGGAAACATTTATTCAGAAAAGGACAGTTTAAAATTTCTGGGATACATAAGGAAAGTGGGCCCTAGAGAATTTAATGTTCAGGATACATTGAAGGCAAGGCAGACAGGGAGCGAACAAGTAACCTACTTAAAAAATTTCAGTGAAAGAAATGCAGAAGTTACTTCTTACAAAAATAAACAGGAAGTGGGGGAGAGTCATAATTGCCATGCCCCCAAAAGACCTTGCACGTAAAAGAAATACCTGCTTGGCTGGATAACTAAGAAAAAAAGCACCTTTACACTATTTTGAAACCAGTTTTCTCTTTTCAGATTGAGTGTGTAGTAATAAGGCTCATTAACAATGTATTGAGGATTAATGCAAAGACCTTCTTAACAATTGGTCTCTTTTTTTGTATTTAACCAATCTTGATAAATTTTTCTCTTGGAAAGTGATTCTTTTTTTATCTTTATACTTGTGCTTGTTTCTTTAAATTTGGTCTTTATTCCTGGAGCACCTTGTTGGCACTGCTAACGAAGCCCAATGCTTCAGCAGATGCTTAACCAAATTTCATTCTGTCAGTGTTGCAACTGTCAAGTGGCTTATTTTGTCTGCCCAGTCCCACCTTCAAATCCAAAGCAAAAAATGCCTTTGGGAAGGTTCCAGAGTCTGAAGCAGTAACCATGAAATGGAAGTTGGAAAACTGAATTCTTTTACTGATGGCAAAGTAAACATGTATGAACTATGTGACCTCGAAGAACAAATCTTTTCCTGCTTTTAAATTTTGGGCACTCATTAAAATGTCAATTATTCTTGTAAAAGAAATGTTTATTTTGTTGGGGCTTATAAATTGTTAGTGTAAAAGATAAACAGCATATGAGGAAGTGAAAGATTTAACAGTTTATTTATAAAATATCCAATCAACAACATGCAAACTTGCTGTGACATATACACATGTGTGCACACACACATTTTTGTGTGTGTGTATATATATATATATATATATAGAGAGAGAGAGAGAGGAATGGATTTTTTCCTTTATTGATCCAACATATTTTAATTTATTGCTTAAATGTTATTTTTAAGTAACTATATAATCACCAGAATAGACATACATAAAATAGTTAGATACTATGAACCCATCCAAAGGATGTCATTAATTTACCTACCTTGAAAAAATATCTGTCTCTAATTTAAGGTATTATCTGTATTTATTATAAAGCAGTTCTTAAATATGGCTTAATGTTCATTATTTCAATTTGTGTTTATTTTCTGATCACTCTTCAACTGAGTGACATGCATGCTCACTCTCGTGATCATCTAATGTTTGTATAAAACAAAGCCTTTTGCCATGACAAGAATAAACTTTTTTGTATGTGATCTGCCTTTTGTGTTGTAAAAGGAGGAGTTTTATTTCTGCTATCATGTAGCAAAAAGTTAACCACTTGTGTGCTGATAATTTTAGAAAGAAGCTGGCAAGCAGTCACTTGCATATACAATTAAAATGTCATCATTGTGCTTCTCTCTGTTAGAATTAAGTAGACTGGATTGTATGACTTCTCTGCAAAAAAGACATTTCTGCATTGTCCTCTCTTTCCTCTTTGACTATTCAATAGCTATCTCTGATTGAAACTATTTTTGTGTTCAGAGCTTAGTCTAAAATACTGAGGAAATAACACTATATTGGCTACTTGCTTGACCACTTAGTTTGCATTTAAGTGATGTATAATATAATTATGTTCCTCTTAATTTTACTGGACTTATTAAAAGAAGTATTCAGTTTAATAAAACCAATGCTTAACATTAACTGAACTAAACAGATTTTTGACTTGTGGATAAGGTGCCTGCAGGTAGTCTATTTGATTATTTTAACACCATGATATGACACAATAAGCATGAATGTTGTTAGAAGAAAGTCAGACAAAAGTTTTAAAGTCCAGTATTAATTTTAGATTGTTGGTTTCAATGCAAAAAGGAATGACTTCTAGAACATCCCAGCCCCAAATTTATAGACAGATTCTATAGATGCATGCTGGGATTTCTTCCTAAATAATAAAAAAATCAATCACTTCTTGGTTTCATCCACCATATTTTTTCTTTCTTGTCTTGAAGTCAGAACACTACAATCCCTTGACTGTATCCCTTTTGCATGTGAACACCATTTGTACTTTGAACTTTTTTACCTTTTTTACTATTTCTTTGCTTAGTTTTAACTTGGATATTGTTTGCTTAGTATTTTTTTAGCCCTGTTCTTTTTCTCTCTTTTCTCATTGTTTATTGGAAACTTTGTCAATTCTATTTGTCGGGCATTTGTGTCAATTACACTTAACCATGGCCGATTACTCTATAAGAATATAAGCTGAAAAAGACTATCTAGTAACCAATAATAGACATGTATTTCCTCCTATTTATTTCATTCGAAGATTTCTTGTCCAGGAGGAAGTTCAGGTTTTGTATGAGTCTAGATGTATCATGTTTTACTATTTTATAATTTATGAAAACATTTACTTAAATTTACAATTACCCTTTCCTTGTACTGAAAATGAAAGCATTCATCTCTCCACTCTCATAGTATTGTTTATTTAGTAATTATGCCTCAATATGTCTGAAAAATGTTTGTTGACATCATTAAAGTTGTCATCATAAAAAGATAATATTTTTTTTATTGCTGCCACTAAGAGAGTGTTCAATCAAATGGCCAAAGTATCAAGTGTTGCAAGGTGCTGAGAAAGGGAAAAATTTCATTAGAAATGAATAAGAGTTGCTGGATTGATATGTGATATACATTCTATTATATGGCAGTGAATGTTTGACAATCTCTCTACAGATGAGGAAAAAAAAAAACTAAAAGCAGCAGAAATATGATTCTACAGAAGGATACGGAAAATTCCATGGATCGAACGAATAAGCAACAAGGAAGTCTTAAAGTAAATGGCAACAGAAAGATTACTTCTACTCAGAATCAGGAAGAGAAAGCTGAAATTCCTTGGACACCTAATTAGAAAGAAGGCCTTAGAAAACTTAACCTTCATGGAGTGTAAAAGAGACAGAGGGAGCCAGCAATCCATTTACCTGACAAGCTTGTGGGAATGAATAGCAGAACAAGAGAGGTGCCTAAACAAAGGGAGAAAAACTGCTAAAGGCCACACGGAATAGAGAGTTGTGGAGAGCCATGATCTTCTATATAGATCAAGCATAACATATACATTGGTCATGATTACAAAGTTAACTGTTGAATTTAAATCTCTACCTGAAAATGGTATTGTTTTTTATATTTGATTGATTCATTCATTTTCTAGGATTTATCAACCATTTGCAGGTTACTTAAAGCTAAAAAATTATTTGAGGGGAGATAATGGTTTAGTGATACAAGGCTTACTAATTAATCCATAGCTGGAGGGAGAAGAGGTGGATTAATGTTTTTCCCAAAAGTATTTGTGCATAAGTGAATATAACAAACTCAACAGGAATTAGAACTCTGTTCTGATTAACAATCCCAAGACATTATCCATTACATCATCTGCACATCCAAGCTTACATCACCCATCTAGGTATACATTGGGCTTGACATTGCTTAACTTTGGTGATCGTATGGGAACTTGTGCTTCAACTTAATGTGGCCATAAGCCCTTTTTATACTATGTACAAATGTTATGGAAATATTTTTAAAAGATTGGCAGATACTTGCCAAAAGACAAAAAAAATACAGGGTGTCCCCCAAAAATTGACATCATTTTGTAGTCTAATAACATAGCCAATTCTCACTTAAATGATCTCAAATTTTAACAAAATGTGTAAAAACTAAGTTGATTGTGCAGACTTATCTCAATGAGAATTTACCAGGAAGATGGATTGGGCATACCAGTGATAATGAGAATGTGCTATTGAAATGGTGACCACATTCACACGACTTGACACCTTGTGATTTCTTTTTCTATGGGGCTATGTGAAAGGACAGATCTATATCCCCCTCCCCTCCTACAAGCCTAGAGGAACAAGCAGAAATCACTGAGGCACTGGAGAATGTTACCCAAGACATGCTACAGTATGTTTGGCAGGAGCTAGAATACTGACTTGACGTTGGTCATGTCACAGGTGGTGTACATATTGAGTATTTGTGAAGCTTTGTGAAATCATACTTATAAAACCCAGGTTGTGCGTCTGTACGTTTATATATTGGATTGGATTTCCTATATTTTTCAACTGATTTCAACAAAACTTCACAGGACTACATAAAATTACCTTGCGGTGGTTCTGACAGCACCAAAAATTGGAAAAACACAATTGTTTTTGCACAAAATCAATTTGAAAACACAATTAAGAGGCATCGCGAGAATGAAAGG